GCAATACACGAATTAACAGTTTTGCTACAGTTGCCTTAGGAAAAAAAAAGGCACTGCATTACCTGCATTACAGTTCTGTTACACATATGACCCAGACAAACACTAGCATTGAAAAGAAATGCTTAACATTAAATGAACTGGGTAAGCTTTCAAGAAAGTCTTTTACAATTGTTTTGAACACACATGCTGATCTGCTTTATTCTACATTGGTACACTGAAAGTAGGCGGCAAACACCTAATCTGCCAGTTGTTTTCTTCAAAAACAACTAGTAAACAGTCTTTAGACAACAGATTTTGACTTGCTTTTTCCTAGTCTGGGTGGTTTCCCCAAGAATCATTTCTTCTTCCCTTTCCTGCATTCACTAACTGCTCTTCCATGTGGATTTGTAACTATAGTAAAACCCAAGTTAAAGAAGACATTAGAAAAGATTTCCATTAGAAACAATTGAAGAACTAACTATTGTATTTGTTGAAGGGAACACAGTCCATTCTTAATTCTTTGATATTTGCAGTGTCATTCAAAACCATGTTTGCATGGCCTAATGATAAAATGCTCCAGAAAATTTCATTTTTACCATTTGTGTTTGCTGAGAGAAAGCTGCTGGAATCACAAAAAAAGAGGGTATCTCATTCTATTCTGCCTCACCTAAAAGTTCACGAGGAAAACCACACATGTAGCCCTGTGGAAATTCTAGGCAAACAGAGCAAATCCCAAAGAGCAAGTTTCATCCATACATTAAATAGCCTTACAGTCTCTGAGACCAGGGAAATAAAAGGTACTTCTGCCTTTTCCTTCTGCCCTATTCCACTCAGTCTTTCTCCTACCACTGCTGGGGCTGGGAGGGGAGAGAGAAGTGTTAGGCTACAACTGCCAGGAGAAACACATTATACTGATAACATTTTTAGCCATGCAACCTGTTTCGGTGTTGCCTTTGAGAAAGCAGACAACTAATTTTCTCGTTTCCATGCAGCAGAGAACAGAAGGAGAAAAAAAAAATCTCCATAACTCAGAAGTCATGTACAGACTATTGCATGCAACTACATATACAAACGTACCTTGAAAATGTGCCTCTAAAAGGCCTTCTGGGTATACCTGTGATACTAGATTATCTCATTCCATGGCTCTGACACATCTCGACATGCATGGAAGTGTGGAAACAGTAAAGGGTTCAGGCTTTGTGACAAAATGTCATACTCAGCCAAGGCTAATGCAGGTGCTAGTCATTATGGCTAGCAGTATAACAGCTATATTGTTCTGCAGCCTTCCTCTTGTCCCTCCTCCCCCCTTCTCAGGTGCACCTGATAAATCAGGGCAAAACTGCTATGTAGTTTAGCCACATGTGTAAAACGTGTATGGATGAAAAATTGCTTGCCCTGACCTAACAATTAGAACATTTTCTGGAGAACTTGTACAGTGTTTTCAGATTTCCAGAACAATCTCATCCATAAACTGCAGTTATGATGATTTTAGACTTCAAGTCATGACACTACCCACGTTTGTAATCTTCAAAAAAGAACTTAGCTTGATGGCAAGAAAACCTTTAAAATAAGATTTCCAATAGGGTAATGATCCATAACCTAACAAAGAACGTTTGACAAACAGTTTAGCTACACCTGACCTGAACAGGCTCACATTTAACAGTGAAGGTGACAAAGTGGGGAGGCAGGGGGAGGGGACACACAACCAAAACCAAACCAAAGTACAAAAAATCCCAACTACACACACAAAGCACACAAAGTCAGGGAATACTTAAAGGTAGTTAGATACCTGTAGAGCTGACCTTATCACCTCCACTCTTCTAGTATATTGCAAAAGCAGCTACAACCTCAGAAGTAAGCAACTTACACCATATCCTAAGCTTATCATCAGCAGTAACAAGTCTGACTTTCCAGGATAGAAGCAAAATGAGCAGTAAAACCAATGGTGGCCCCCTTGCTCTCTTCTCCCTCTCATTTAAATAGCATGCTGTCTTAAGCAACTGCCTTTTTCTTACCTCCGCACAATGTCAGAAATAGAGCTGGCTCTAGACAACATAAAAGAAAAATGTGTGTCTACATCTAAAAGCATAAAACCTCACCAACAATAATTCCACACACGAAAGACTAAACATCCCTCATGAGATTGAATTTGGAGGCAAGGTAATTTTGTTCCACTTCAAAGAAAATCAGCTTATTGATAACTGTTGACTAAAAATAAAAGTCACCAATTAAATTAAAAGTATTATTAAAGTAATAGGATCCATCTGAAGTATACCTCCCATTTACATGGGGTAAAAAAGGATTTGATGTACCTTCTCTTAACTAAATACAGCATATAAAATCAGTGTGGAAATATATTCCATAACAGATTTAGATCAGTAGCAGTTAAATTCTTTCACAATTGCTTCTTCCCTAATATGCTACATTTAGAAACATCAATAGATCTAGCCAGAGGAAAAAAGCACACAGGCATGCTGCCCCAGCATTCAGGTTTAGATATTCTTCACCACCCTATCATATCCTTGGCATAAAGAATACTATTCCTCCCCTCCCCCTCACCTCCATTTTTAGTATAAAAACAAGTCAGAAGAATATTTAAGATACTTCTAAATACTCATAATCAAAAAGCTTCCATGAACATAATGCAGAATATCCTGTATCATACAGTAATTCAAGATCACCTCTTCGAGGGAGGCTCATTTAAATGCAGGAGTTGAAGCAACCTCCAGTGTCAGGCTGTAGTGTCCAATATCATTTTACATGCTACCAATGGCTTGATTTTGCAGACAAATATAAGCAAGAGACACTTTCTTTCTCAGGGTTCTTTAAAAGGAAAAAAAAAACCAAAACCAAACCAAACACCCACCCTTTTCTATGCAATTGTAACATAGAAATTAATCTTCAACATTTTTACTGTAGTTTCTTGTCCATTATTAATGAAAAAAACCCCCGTGATCAAAAGATAATGTTCTACCATAAAAGAGATTTCCTTCTCCTTCCTGCTCTGCATTTTGTCTCAACTATATATTAGTCCCAGTGATATTATGCAAAAAACTGATAAGCAGACAATACAAACTTCCAAGTTAATAAAAGCCAGGAATTTCAAATGAAGAATTAAAAACCAAACAAACCAACCCAAAACCCACACAACTCATATGCCAAATAAAAGCAGACTAGAAACAGCACACTGTCATCAGGAAAGGTACTTAAATTGAAGCTGAATACTGGGTTTATTCTGTCTGCTATCATTTCCCCTCTCTCCCAACCTCTATCTTCATATCACAGCAGCAAATCCTTTGGTATTAATAAAAAAACCCCAAACCAAACAAACAAACAAAAAACACCAAAAAACCCAAAACAGTAGTAGTAACAGAGTTGAATGAAATTTTGAAAAACAGTCAGTTAAACAGCCCATTACAACTGCTAACAGTAAATGCAATTACTATGTTATCATGCACAGTCTAGTTAAAAAACAAAAACCCAACACACACATACACAAAAAAACCCCCCACAATGTAATTTTGTCTGTTTCCTCTAAACCCAAGCTCTTATGCTGAGGCTTTCACTCCGATACTGTTTGTTACTATGAAGCTATCTTGTATGTATATTTAGAACACACACATCTTTGTCTTGTGTGTAGCAGCTCTTACAAGTTGGAAATATTTCACAAGAAAATATTTATTTTTACAATAGTGATGACAGAATTTTAAGCTTATTTTAAGTGTCCATTTTAACTGTATTATAGATACTATATAGCTAGACATTACTGTCTCTCACACCTCCAGATTTGCTTCAGTTTTCTCTTGTTATTCCTGGTAGAATCCAACATAATATTTTCTGTTAACTTTTATCTAAAGGTTTAAAGGCAGAATCAGATTATTTTTTTTCTTAACAGGTTAAAGAGGAAGGAGATGCTGCCTGAATAAGAGAGAGCGATTTAAAATTGTGTTCAGTGGATGAGCTGACAAAGTGGGAAGCTTCTGTTTTAAAAGAAAACCTGACTGTGCTTAAGAGTAGTAGCAGAAACCACAAACAGAACCAACTTTAGAACCACACAAAGAGGACTCTGGGAATTATGTCAACCTCAGACAACATCCCCACCCATATTCACCCCATTTATACCCCAGAATCCCTAACACCTACAGCAGTATGTGGCCTCAGAAAAAAACAAACAAACAAACAAAAAAAACCCCCAAAACCCCCAACCAACCAACCTCTCATCTCCATCCCTCAACAGCACAGTTTCATTGCAGCTACAAGGCAGAAATGCACGAGAGGCATGAAAATCAACCTTTTAGTTGCAGTATTTCTCATCCCCTTCCTTATTACCAGAGACAAGGAGACAAGAGAAGTCATCCCTGAAACTTACCGAGGCTACAGGATGATCAGAAGGAGAATGCAGATAACAAGGTCTTTGGAATCGCCTCAGTATCAGATAAACCCAGATGAATGGCAGATAGGGCCATTCTAGCCCAGGTATTTCACTCAGGCTGAGAAACTGAGGGTCAGACGATTCTAAACACAAACCCACAGCGACTCCAAGGCTCTCACTGTTACAGGAGGAACCTCCACCCAAACTCACTCACCCTACTTAGATATGCATCACAGAGCGATCCGGGAAGCCTTCAGCTCCACACGCTAGTCCCCCACCACTGCCTCAGGAATGCCCCCCTTCTAACTACACTCGGCGCTAAAGTTACAATGGTTAGAAAGAGGTAAAGGCATTTACACGCTGCCCTGGGAATCCTCTCATCCCCAGCCCTGGGATTACTCCTCACACACACAACCCGTCTGCGCTCCCCTGCCTCCTCCCCTCAGGGAAACACAACCATATTGGGGAGGGGGGCGAGAGGGAGAGAAGAGAGCCGCCCCTCAGGGCCAGCCCCAAGCTGCTCCCTTCCCCGGCAAGGGGCAGCCCGCCCTCCCCCATCCCAGTCCCACCCCAGCGCTAGAAGCAGGGGAACCAGGACTAGAACTCTCCTCCCTCCACTCGTTACTCCCTCCCTCCAAACCCCACTCACCTGGGAAAGGAGCCAAAGCTCGGCTACGTCTCCTTCTCCCCGTCTCCCCCACACTCAGCCTCTCGCCGCCATTTTCCTCGCTACCTAGATTTAAATAGGAACCAGCCTCCGCGAGAGGAGCCACAGGGCGGCGCGAGGCATTGTGGGACCTGTAGTACAGCCTCGCGCGGGGGCTCATGGGACGCCCCTCCGCGCGGGGCATCACGGTACTTGTAGTACCCCTGTGGGCCCGACGGTTTTCTGAGCCACCGCCCGGGGGCCCGCCCGGTTTCTCCCGCCGCGGCCCGGTGGCTGGCAGCCGGCCGCGGCTTAGCCTGGCGCCCGCTCCTCGACATCGTCGCTGCTTTCCCGCGCTCTCCCCCGAAGAGCGGTCCCAAACGGGGTCGAGGAAGCGGTGCCGTGGGAAGCTCCCCGCGGCAGGCCCGTCCCGGCAGCGTGCCTAGCCACGGCGCTCGTAGAGGCCCGTGGGTTAAACGCGAGGCTGGCACTGCACTCAGCGTGCCTGGTGTCGAGCGCTGCAGCCGCAGGTAGTCCACGGAGTCACAGCAATACAGTACTTAATAAAGACCGTCTTATGCCCACCAAGGATTAAGATACAATAAGGTGTCGGCCCCACACACAGCACGCAATCACAACACAGAGGTGAAGCTGCAGCTAAATAACGTTTGTGGAGTATTTGCTACACCAAGCACCATTTTTTCCATTTCCATAAGGAATAAAACCAGTCTATTGAAGCAAATGTTTAATAAAATGCAAACAGATCGGGATAGAAGTTACATTCTTTTTTAATAGCTTCAGTTACTCTCTACTGCAGGTATGCGTCAAAGATGGTTTTCAAACTAACTCATAACAGTTCACTTGCCATCCGTAAAAAAGCAAGGCAAGGATATGAAGGACTGGGTACTTATAAAATATAACCTTCCTATGCCACAGTTTGCTTGCATAAACACTATTTTCATAAACTTTTTTAGAATGAGCATTTAAAACTTTGCAGACTACAACACGGTATGTGGAAAACACTGTATACCTCAGTTTTAGGTACTCATAAAGCAGCCATATAAAAATGCTCTTTTTATTTTGAAAATTTATAGTGTGAGACAATGAAACTGCACTGACTTAAGTCCTGCCAAGCTATTCATACAGAGCTCATTACAGGACCATAGCCACAATTAGTATTCAAGATGGACAGACAAGTAAAGCCATTAAGTACACCTTCCAGTAATTCCCTCCTTCCCCCCGCTAAAAAAACAAACAAAAAAAAAAAAAAAAAAAAAAAGGTCATACTAGTGTTGGGCTTCTGTGAGCAAGTTACTGGTACAATATGAGCCTCCAGCTACTTCTGAAACAAGCATTACACACAAAAAATATCCAGAGATAGAAGAAATTCAAATATGTCAAGTTCTGGAAAAATAAGCTCCACCTTAGATTTTACTTTGCAGTTATACTACATGAGAATGTATCAATTATAAATGTCCATTTGTACTTACGAACACAAATTTAACCAACTGGTAGATACAGATTCCCTATCATGTTATCACAACAGAAAAGAGTTCATGTTGTTAGGGTACCTTAAGAGGAGTGAGGTCCTGTTGCATTTCCTGAAAGTGTGAGGTCTGCTGTTTAATGACTCCACTTCCTCCATTCCAGGTAATCTTTTTCTGGAGGTTGTTCTCTTCTCTGACTATGAATTATAACAGACCATTTATCAGGGCAAAACCAAAGGAAGTATGGAGGGAGGAATAGGTTAATGAGAGGCAGTGGTAACATTGGACTTTAATCATGTTGTGGTTCTTTTTGTTTGGGCAAAATGCACATTATTCATATTTCTTCCATTTGGACCATAAGGTCTTCAAATTATATACTTACATTGCATCTATGACACCTTAGATTCAAGACTGATACAGAACTTCAGGTGTCAATAGAGTACAAATACTGTGCATCTTCCCCCCCCCCCCCTTTAACCTTTGGTTTTTGTTATAGCAATTATAAACACATAACTTCAAAATTAGCTCTAGCTTTATATAATGAAGGATACAGTGATAAAGTGCTCTCATTTTTCATTGATATGTGATGCTCTACAAAAATTAATAAGACCCCCCCCCCCCCCAAATTTTTGTACATGTCTTAAAAGCCAATCATAGTCAATGTAGCTGTAGAACTGTAACATTTAACATTTTTATCTATTTGCTCCACCTGCTGGTGCATATTCCTTTTAAAGCAGTCTTTAGAAGCCTAAATGTATTAAATATTTGGCCAAAGATGTACACAAGAGACATACATAAATTCAGCTTAAAGTCATGTAACCTACTAATTTAATCCAATCTGATCCAAACATTTTCTCAGTCAAAAAAAGGCCAATGGAAGCACAGACTTAAGGAAACATGACCAATAGCTCACTTTTTGGACACTGCCATTCATTTTTATTGTGACAATAATCCAGTCAGCCATCATTTTCCATCATCTATTCTTCTCCAATAAATGTTTTCTCTTCCACATGGGCACCTCTCTACATAACTGATTTGTCTCCTGAACTTTCCAAGACTAATTTCTGCTTGGACGATTAGTGCAAGAGAAACATCCTGTTTCTTCAGCCCATTTAATTGTTCTCTGCTCAGAGACAGAAAAAACCCCACTATGATCAACAAGCACTCTTTATAAAAAGTTTTACACAAGCTTAGATTTCTTTCCATTCCATCTATTGATAGTATTTTTTTTTATTTATTTTTTAAAATGTTTTACAAGGAAATAGTGACAACGTGCCCATTTAAAAAACAAAACAAAAACAAAACAAAACAAACAAAAAAAACCAGTTCTAGGCTATGACATTTTCCAATAATACTCCGGGACGGAAGTAGCTTTCCATCCCTTCTTCCCTTCCCAAATTAGAAATGGACAACACAAAAGAAAACAACTCTCTCTGCTCCCCCAAACCTAAAATCACACCCCAAGACCTTTGGTATTGGATTTTTTTTTTTATGTTCATAAAGAAACTTTATTTGGGGGTTCCCTATCTAACTAGGTTAAGCAGAACTAAGGTTTGTTGCATTACCACCAGGTTTTCTGGGGCTGAACTAGCACTTTTTAATGACTGAAAAATTTTAACTTGCTTTAAATTCCGTATTATTATTTTTATATTTTTTCTGTACACTAACTAATAGTTTGCAGTAGTGATAGACTGTTTGACTGGAGCTGAGAAGAATATCTGGTGTACAAAAGACCCTGAAATTACCATATAGACACCACAGGGACTGAAGAGAAAAGTTGTTCCGGCATTGAATAAGAAGCAAAGAAAACCAACACTGATAGGAAATGGGTAAAAGCATTGAAAACTGGAGTATATTTTGATTTTTTTTTTTTTTAAATAAAACCAAAGTACATACATACCTTATTCCTAGACTAGCAATCCAGTTTGTGGGGCTAATCTGCCTAACTGGCCAGACTATCAAGAGTTACTTGTTTAGCATAATAATAAAACAGGTTCTTTAATGGCAACAAAGGAAATGAAACAGAATTATAGAGTAAGATAAGATGCATCAGAAATACATCATTAGAGAACAATTTTTTTTTTTTAAGTTGAAAAAGTTTTCTTTAGCAATATTTTATGAAGTGAATAATCAGATCCTTACATATGCTGAAAACATGGCTCTTATGCTATGGATTATTGATTATCATTAAACAACAAATCCTCATGTAAACCATGGTGTAAAACAAAACATGTAAAACTAGGGTCTCTGCAAAATAATTTGTATTTTCAGCAACCTTTCACTAATCCATAATTTTATCTTATACAATCATTAAATTATATTTATGTGAATTCATTTTTCATAATGAATTTTTAAAAAACAACACATTTCAACACTAATTGTTTAACCAGAAAAAAGACAGACAAGTTGATTAACTGAAAAGAAAATACATCTTAAGGGGAATTAAAAACAAACCAGTATATTTGTTACAATCAGTCGCACATTGATCAATGTAGTCTGGAGTACATTGCTGGTTTCACTGAAAGAGTAACTGAATATGAGAATTTCAGGGGATAATTGTAACAAATAAATGTTACAACAATATTAGTTTGCAAACATTTCTCTCTTGCTCATGATCAGTAAATTAATAAGCTCAGTTCCAGCTACTGAGGCTTAAAGCTAAGCATCTAAAATTTCATAGTTTACAATATTAGTGTTGTTTTACCCATGTCTTTAACTACTAGACATTTTTTGTGGTAAAAGTCAACATTCAGATGGTTTAAAAAAGGCAGTACATACATGCTTTTCAATTTAAGTGGATGCAGCAGCCCATTTTAACATTAAGAAATAAATATAGATGAAACATTGCCTCCTCCATCCAAATTAATTTTATTAAAAAAAACCTAATTATTTAGAGAGTTACACAGCATTCAACGACACTGAGCATTTAGAAATTCTAGCATTTTTCAGAACTTGCTTAAAACTCCAGCTCCCAGACAACATCCTGCATTTTTAGAACCTGCTCTGAATGATTTCAGTTTTTAGTAGACTTGAACAGGAGCAGGCAAGAGCAACACTATTGTCCACATTGCTATGCCACCATACAGTCTCCACTCTATTCCACTTCATGTGGCCAACTCAAAATCTCAGTAAGAGGAGAACGTAAAATATATCAGCTAAAGGTTTCCTGTGACTCTGCTTTTAAAACCCAAGACAATCTGTTCATTCCTATTATACAGTTCAAGAACAGAGGTACAGATTTGTAATGTAAGCTTTTCTGCACTGCCTAAAAGATGCCCTTCCTCTTACCTTTAAAAGAATATTCAGGAGATAAAACAACTCTTACATACTCACTAAGAGAAAAGGAAGGTTAAAAGTAAGAGGACCTAATTTTGGTTTCCCAAGAAAGCAGATGCACAGTAATATTTTATATTTTGATGTGCATACGACTACTTGCAAAGGACCTCTGACATAAAAATTAACAATTAGATTGTGACAAGATACAACATACAGTTGCTCTGAAAGTCTTGTGATTTACATAAATTAAAATCTTAAACTAATGTAAAAAGAGCTTAATAGGATCATTCATTACAATATTACATTACTAGGGAACATGCCTCAACATCTGTGCTGACAGATTTTATGCAAGTTCAGCAAAGGCTACATGGTTGAAACAGGAAGAAATCGGTGTCTAATTTGATTGTTACTCTGTGATATTCATAATATTGAAAAAAAGTTTAAAATACAACCAGCTTAGTTCTCAAAAAACTAAGCTATATTTAAATAACAAAAAAAGAAAAAATTCCAACCACCAACAACAATCCACAAAACAAACCCCACCAAAAACAACCCTAACATGCTGCAGTCTTTATCCTAGACCTCAAGCATAGGCTGACTTGTCTGTTTCATGGCACTTAGCACCTGTGTTTCTAAGACTTTGGAAGATACTCTGTGACATAAACATGATTTTGCAGTACTCTCGTTACCCTTGGCTTAGATTTGGCCTTAATTTGGTCTCATTCAGCTAAGCACTTCTATATGAAAATTCTACTGTGCCTTTTGGTTTATTGACTCCATAACAAGATGCCTGGATTTACCTCAGATCTTGCTGTGACACAAGGGGTTTGGAATTGGTTTAAGTATTTGGTTAAAGATAAGCAATTTCAAAGACATTAGACATTTCTGGCAATGTTTTTGAAAGCTGCAACTCAAAAGAAATTGTCAAGCACTTGGGAATTCATAGTTGATTACCTACGTCTCATACCTTCCCTATAAAATATTGTGCTTAACACATAGAACAAACCCTGAACGTGGCAGTGTTTTCTAACCATGGAACAAACCAACAAATTTTCAATTAAACAGTATAAAAGGATTTTTAAAAGTAATTGCCAAGATAAGCTCAGAAATGTCTTAGACTTGTAAATTTAAAAAAGAAAGAAGTTGCTTAAAATACATCTAAGCAAATACTCCTTTTTCACCTGAGTTCTACTGTTCTGACTCCTCATTCCCACTCAGCCAGAAAAAAACCATTTAAACAAATCATCTTCATCTGATTTAACCACCACTTCACATTTCAGCTTTCACATATTCTCTATTAGCAAGCCAATGAAAAACAAACAAAAATCATAAGAATCACTGCCTTAATTCAGTTTACTTCTAAAAGCATATACACTTGCTTTTTTTTGTTAATGAACTAGTTGTTACACCAACCTGCTCATTTTCTTTATTTCTAAATTCAGTGGAACTATCTTTATATCTGTAATTTCACTGTGAAATTTGCAAGAACAGTGCTTTAAATAAATTAAAACAGACTTTTTGTTGCAAACAGTTTTTTGAAACATCTTCACAATAAGAAGCCTAGAATTCATTTAATGCATTTGGTGTTACTGTAAGTATGTATCCAAATATTTAATATGTAGAAAGTGATTTTTAATTAAAAAAAAAAAAAAATCAATCATGTTGTAAGGAGGAGATTCTTACATCAAATATATGCATACATGGAATACAATAGTAGCTATACATATACTTGCATTGTATTTGTATTTCTAAAACAATAATTTAAATAAACTATCTTTAAAGAAAAAATTCAAGCTTCTTTGAAATGGCCATCATGAGTGTCATGCAATAAGAACATTTAAGAGTGTAATCAATTTATTCAAGTGGCAGTATTAGGAACATACTTTCTGATAATACTGAAAGAAAAAAAAAAATTTTAAAGTTCAAAGTTGTCTAGTTTTATGTGCCTAGAAGTGGATAGTGGCACCTAAACCACTGTCTGGATTCACTTTTGAAAGCGTGGTAAATTAGGTGTGCACAAATTGAAATCTACAGAGACTATAAGCTTACAGTTGCAGCATACATCAAAGAAAACCTTATCTTGTGAGCAGCATGCCAAGAAATACTTGAAGGCTAAGCAAATCTCACCAAAACTGCTCAGAAGATGATACTTCTATTGAACAAGGCATTCATTATTTTAAAAATTTATTAAAAATATTAGCAAATGTATTCTAGTTCCATGGTAAACATTTTCAGTAGAAATTCACAGGCTTAAGTGAAGTAATGTAATATTCCTACAATCTATTTGCAGAGAGAAAGTTATGGTAAATAAGAAAGTGAGTTAATGAAACTTATCCAACATTGAGATACCAGCCTCAGATCTATGAGGGTTACTTACAAAAATACCATTAATCTTTTTATAATATAATCATATTAATATTAAAATCATATCCAGATAAAGTGTTCACATAAGGAGCAAATTAATACCTTCATAGACATAAAACCCTTGAGTCAGACTAAAATAAATTATTATCTACAGGTCAAGAAAGAAAGACAAAGGGTTATGCTTGGTGGAACATTCATTGCAGTATCGTTTGAGCACCTCCCTTGAACACCTTCTGAGTAGTCAGAAGTTTAAGACCTTCCAGTTATAAATCAAAGGAAAAAAAAACAGTTGAGGGAAAAAAAAAAAGTCTGGCACATGACTGCAAGCATGAAATACTGGCTCTTTAGAAATATCTGGAAGTTTTGTCTTTTATTTCACAAGGGCTAAGACTATAACACATTAATCAGCTATTTTTATTCCCCCTGCCCCATACAAGACAGTACAATCCACTGCAAAACCCAACAGGCAGTCTAGCGTTTTTCCTGAGGCACACAATTTGCATCTTTACTAAACATTAGTCTCACCTTTATACTGAAAGATGACTAGTGATGTCCTGTCAGAATTTGCCCTCTCTCTAAATCTGTAATTTTTAAAGAGAAGTCAGGTATAGAACAATTTTTGCTTTTTTACCAGGCTACTTCAGATATACCTCTTACTCCATGTAAGATGAATAAAGAAAAAAGTCTTGGGGAGGGAAGAGTGGAGGAAACACAGACATGATAAGATCTTTTTGGTACAGAATTTTGATTTTGTAAACACAAATGAATAGACAGATAACTTATTCTTCTGAAGCACCTGTAATGCAAAAATTACAGAAATGTAATAACTTCTGATCACAGAACCAAAAGTTCAAACCAATTAATGTGTTTTCATTATTAAAGCTAAGATGACTACCAGGTTAAGGTAGATCAAAGACGATCTTGTCATAAATGTAGGGTTATTAACAAAAACACTTTAAAAATATAACCTGATAGTGTCTATTGAAATAATAAGACATCCAAATAATAGCTTTGTAGTGTCAGTTTTTTAAGTCACAGTCTTCTGTCAAATGTTGTCTTCTGATACTAGCTTGTATTCTCATACTGGTTTTGATTTTCTTATTCTTGGCGATGCTCCGCATTCTGATTTTGCTGCTCCATTGACAAAGGTAGCTGTAATTTTAAATTAAAGTATAGTAAACAAACACAATTTTGCTTCACTTTAAAACATATAGAAAGTAGACCGGGGCGGGGGGGGGCAGCTTAAGCATTTGCTTCAGTTGAAATTAACTTGGAGTCAAGTACATAAAATGTTTAAGAACTTTGACTACACAAAGTTGATATGAGCAGGAATCAGACAAAAGTTGCTTCTAAGTCTAGCCTCCTATCTCCAGGAATGAACAATGCTTCATGAGTAGTATTAAAAATGGGGCAAATACAGAGTTGTCCTACCAACATAATTTCTTTCAGGTTCTAGGGGAACCTTAGTGATTTCCTAAGGTCTAACTTGCCTTTAGACCGTTGTTTTATTAGCCACTGACAGACTGAACCCCAGGGATTAAATCTCAATCCATACTTTTGCAGAAATTATTTCTCTGTATTTTATCTCTCTCTTGTGTTAGTTTTAAATATGCTACTACATTAAAATTGTCTATTCATATATTATGAGAAACAGCAAAGAGTAGTTTGCTATTTACCTGCTCAAAACTTAAGATTTTAGAACTCTGTGGTGTCTCCTATCAGACATTTTTTGAGCTAGGTGGTAGTTAGTCTCTCCCCTTACTCTTTAACCAGGATCTTAGTTTAGTTGTTCATTATTTCTTAAATAACTTTTACTGATTCCTTAGGATTTTTTTTTCCTATTTTAAAGCATTGTATTACACCAGTATGGCATGTGCTATCCTAGACAGTCTGCCATTTCACACTTACTAACTTTGTCTGTCATTAGCTTAAGAAGCTCAGGCCACAGCATGAAGAGAAGCTGCAATAGGATAGATGGAACAAAGCAACATATGAAGGATTTACTGTACACTTCTAGTCCTTCTTTTGCCAATTAAATCTGGCATTTATAGTATAAATGGCATAATCTAGATTATTTTGGCTACACAGCTCTCCACACCTAACAACCTCAAATATATATTCTTTTCCTATACTGTTGGGATCCTATGCAAATTATGCCTACCACTGTAAAGACACATTAACTGCAAACAAGTCTGAATTTCATCTTAAGAGCTGGAGGACAAAAGGATTCTATTTACCTTCAAGTAGACTAAAGAAATGACTTACAGCTAATGCCTGCAACTAAACTACTGGCTTCAGTAGAACCCAAGCTCCCCTTCAGAATATTTCTACAAGTGTGAATACTTTTGCAATTAGAAATAAGATAAACTGATAAACAATGTACATCTTTCCACATATGCAGTCAGAGAGGTATAATGCCTGTGCTATTCTTTGTTATACTCAATTGAAGCAAACATGAAGTCAAACACAGTGTCACTTTTGCTACTCTAAACTGTAATCATCTTGGGAACTAAAGAATTGTGCTAATTTCATAAAACAACACAGAAAAGCAATGAAGTTATTCATCTGGAAAGGAGAGAAGGATCTGCAAGACTAGAGAAAGAAAAAAAGAAAAAAGGCATCTACAGTTACATTCAAAACAGAAAGGCTGCTCTGGAATGCTAAAGAAAAACAATGTCATGAGCACCCTAATGGCCTAGAATCTTCCAACTGGTTTCAGCCAATGCTGACTCAGCTAGTAATCTCTGAATGCGAAGAGCTTCAACCCCTCTTAGTAGGAACTAATACATAAAGATCAACTTCAGAAAGAGAGCCAGCCTGTGGTAAAATTCCCAAGTAACTCCATTTTTCAAAGCTCTACCCAAATCTCAGAAGTGATTCCCAGTGTTTCATACGTAACCCTATTGAGTGTTTTTTATATATACATATATATATATATATATATGCATGCTAACAAGAATATGAAATTTCACTCTACCAAATCTTCATAACTCCTATTTAACTCACTTAAAATTGATATAACATTGGAATTTGGAAATTATACAACGTCATTTAATTAAAAGCCCTTCTCCATTAGTTGTCTTTTGCCAGCTACTATGATGTTCCTTTGGAGTTCTTTTCCAGTGGGTTTGATGTTTGTTACGTGATGTGTCTTTATATAGAAGAACAAACATAATTTTAATGGTTTGAAACATAATAAAAGCAGAACTTAAAAAATACAGTAGGAATTTTGGATGGTACTTTTTTTTTTTAATGATGTTAAATCAAAAAAATTTTTACCAGTATTGTAAAAGACTGATTTAAAACTGAAAGAAAAGCCTGGAATCATTAAGCCCAGTTTCATGAAATATTCCTTGCATTTAGATTAACACAGAGTTCAGTGAATAATCCTGAAAATTACCCAGGGCTAACACTTCATACAGTTAGCACTCTGTGTGCTGTCCTGTTAGCAATATGGAATTAGAGAAGAACATTCCGTGATGTTTGAAGGAGGTGTAATACTATCTATATTCTCTGCATGTCAGGAGACAGATGTTTTTGCTCTTTTACAGAAAGGAATGATATAAGCTGATACATCTGGTATAAAAGCATTTGGCCTAGAAATAACTGAAAAAAAAATATTACACCACTGACCTCTATTTGGTTACTTTTTCGTTCGTTTGTTCTTCGTGTTAGTTATTTTTCTCTTTGGAATCTGGTTCTTAACATGCTCTCTCCATTTCTTCAGCTGAAAATTTATAAATTTCCACATCATCCAGGCCTGTGTTAGACAAACAGCACCCAGGCAGCCAATCCTAATAAGATTTGAGATTTTGGAGACAGTTAGATAAAAGTTTCAGTTAACCATTAATAGACTGCAAATCTGTACCTATTTTATTTTTTCTCTAGAAGTCTGCTATCAAAACAAGTAAAATCTTCCTACCATAGGAAACCAGACGTATCAGAAGGCTTTACCCAAGTCAAGGTGTGTCACACAAGAAGTGAATGGAAATCGTATCTAAGTATACTGCTAGAAGCAAACAGGTTTATCAAGGAGTTATGACCATAGCTTTCAATGGCCAATAGGAAATTGTGTCACTGAGGCCTCTTCTGCCAAGCAATCTATAAATGAAAAATCATGTAGATTCAAAATCCTTCCCACACACTTGATTACAGGCATTAAGTTATAAGGGTGAATGTTAAAGTGATGAGCTCATGCCACAACAGTAATAATATTTTAAAATTAACAAGCAAGAGTAAAAGATATACAAAACAATATTTTAGGAAGGCACCAAACAAATAGTTAAAAAATTATGGGTATTAATATCACCAAATGATACTATGTCCAGTATAGACATAGGTGAAAAAAAAAAGTTTAACGAGATGATTATTCCAGGCTTTTTGGATGATTATCAACAATTAATTTAAAAAGTTTCTTTTTTCGTTCTTGCTTTTCTATTTCCCATAAATCCTATTCTACTACCTTTGTGAAAAGAAGATAGAAAAGAGAACAATATTTCCCTTCCCTTAAAAATAAGAGAAAAGCAGCACCCAGGGAAATTCTTCAAAACACATTATCATTCTGGATTGTTTTATTAAAGGATATTTTGAAATGCCACATTATACAAGCATGAATGTCTACTAGCCTTGTTATACCTCACAGGGAGTACATTGAAGTTTCCATCTGCTATGGAAAAACCTGGATTCTCTGCTCTTGCCAGACCAAATCCAAATGTGAGGACAGATAAAGTTAGGGTCAAAAGACGCACCATTACGAAAAGTAGAGCCCAAATGGTAAATCTGAAAACAAAATAATGAAATTAATGTGCTTTCCCCTTTTAGTCCATTTCTTTTCAATAAAGTCAAACATACAAGGAACTTTTCATTAAAATTCTCTCAGCAACAATAGGGAAATGTCCACGGAGGGGACCAATAATTACAGAAAAACTTGGTCATCGGCAAACATTCAGTCCTGCCTCATTACACAATCTTTTGACTAGAAAGTACAATGAAGTAAAAAGATGCATCTCAAGCTGGCATTCATGCTGTAAGCCATTTATAAGTAATGGTGATGCTATAAAGCCAGAAAGCTCATGCTAAAGGTATAATATACATTTATTAAACAGTTGGAAGGTCAAGACAATATATGCAATTTTTAACAGCCAGATGTTTATAGGACAAAAAGGTAATCAGATAGCTAATAAGTAACAAGTGACAATTATTTCACTTTATAGATAACAGAGTGCCATCCTGCAAATTTTCAGCATCTAGAAGTTTTTACTACAGGATGTGGAAAAAAACCCTGATGAACAGTTTTATTAAGCTGACAATAATATCAATTTTCTAAATTAATTATTACTGCCATTACGTAAACATTTCTATAGGAAAAAGACTTCATATCCTGTGACTGATGAATGGATTAAAAGAGACACTACCAATGTGAAAAAAAAATCTTTCAAAAATTTCCACTAAAAAAAAAAAAAAATCCAGCTCGTTCAACTGATTTCAAACATAAAGAAAACATACTTTAAATCTCTCACAGTATAAACAAGACTGCTTAAAAAGCAACTCTTCTCAAAATCTTTTTTTGGAGAAGGGTGTGAAGAAAGCTACAATGTCTGGATGTGAAACTGTAAGAAGAAACAATAAATTCTAAGCTAGGAAAAATACCTAGTATTTGACATTGTGTTGTTTCTACAGTTCACATTATAAGTGCTACAAGTTATAACAGAAATAAAATGCCCCAAATACTTCTGCAATTCATCAGCTATGAAAACCAATTTCCATTTCCAGTTATTTAAACTGTGGTAATGTTGCACATGGGATAACTGATTTCCAGCCAAAGACAGACATAGTTGCTTATCTGATCATTAGAATCTTCATAAGACAGGAAAATATGTTCTCCTAATCAGTATATTTAACCTTCATGGTTTTGGATGGCATATAATGAAAAGCAGATAATCTCATAGTTCCAAAAACCTCACAATGAAGTATGACATACAAGTGAAAGATAAACCGTCTTGTACTTTCACTATTTGCATCAGTAAACATTGATTTTTTGCAAAGAACATTCAGTATACCTATTTAAAACATTAGCTTAAAGGAGCACCACAAACGAACCTTGTGAAAAGATCAGAAAGAGCAGCAGTATTATACCGCCTCAAGGGAGGCTACCTATAAATAAGGGACTGCATGAAAGAAAGCAAGGCTTTCGTGATAATATCTTCCAGTTGGGCAGTCGCTCAGAAAAGGAAGAAAGAATAAGAGACAAGAACACATAAATGAGACAAGGCTGCTTTATTCAAACTGGAACCTCCAAAAGTCTTCACATTCAAATGGTGAAATGTATCCAATCCTTCCTAGCATGCCTCAGTTAAAATATCTCAGTTCCCCATCTCCTTCATTCTCAAATGCATTACTTTTATACCCATTAATTCTCAGAATACTTGAGAATCTTAATCAAGAGATGTATAATTCAAGACATCAACTACACGTTTTGAGACATTACCTTCTCTGTTGTATAGTTACCTCCCTTTCTCACCTTAACAAAACGAGAGAGACCTGCAAGAACTTATAGGGAATGCTGCTTTTATTACTTCTTTGATTAACCGTTTTTAAAAACGGATGTTCCTACATACAAAGTTTATGAACATTTAAGCAAACAGCAATTTACAGAATCAGAAGCCAATACATAGATATCTGAGATGGGACTTCAGCAAAAGCCTCAGCAAAACCTTATGATGATGATCATGAACTGGTGTGTTTGCTTCCTTGACTCTATGTAATGACAATAACTTGCTTGTGGAGTCAAAGCAGGTAATACTGGACATTGAACAAGTGATATTTGCTACCTGAGTACCTTTACATACATGCAAATCCATTTATATGCAATTATTAAGCAAAGTTCTGCCTTTTAATTAACAAATGCAAGATTTACCCTTTTTGATTGTTTTCATCACTGAAGTAGAAAAGACGTGAGGCATGAAAAATGAGTTCCACTAAATAGTGAGGTACCATCAGAATTAGCCCCAAACGCTGCAAACTATAAAACAGAAAAGTTAGGAATTTTAATGAAATTATGAAGAAAATACATCTATCTATTCAAAATGGGCATGCAAATACTTACTTTAATATATAGGCACCAGAGATATGAGCAATGTAAAGGCAAATATAACATAGCTGCCTTGGAATATCTTCCTAAAATTAGAGAAATTATAATAAATGCTGTTACAGTTTAACTATGTTTTCTGAAGAAAAATAATACAATTTATCAGGTTTGGTTATTTTTCACACTACTGTACAAATTTCTGAAAAGAGTATCTGAATCAAAAACTACAGACCACCTGGACTAAATTAGATAGGAAATGCAAGCAATTAATATAGAAATAGTATATAAATAACTTAATATACAAAAAAGAATATGTAGATATTTATGTAGCTAAAATATTAATATGAATAATTGGAAAGAATATGTATTTAATTAACTGTATTGACAACTTCTCTCCATACCTTTTGGATCCTTTGGAAGTATAGCTCCAGCAGTGCATGAAGCCAATAGGCTATCTGGCAAATATAGAAGAATTTTACCTGAAAACTAAACAATAATTCAGGTTAAGAAGACACAAGGTGATGAGTTTAAGCTTTCAACATGAGATAGAAGATTTTATTTCATTATCTTAAATTAATTCTGACTCATTATAGTTTATGATTCCATAATCACACAAACCTCAAACACAAAACAACTCTGTGGTGAGTTTTTTGAATTAGCATCCATAATCTTCTTGATAGCAAGTTCTGAATTGCCTTTTGAGACAGTAGGAAAGAAAAAACAACAAAAAACCCAACACACCGAAACAGTTCATCTCATGAGCAGTGGAACTCCCTTCCTAAAATATGCGTATTATCCCCCTTCCCTTTATCATACTCTCACCAGAGAAAAATGGAGGCCGGGGGGATGGGCAGATAAAACCCACAATTTCGTAAGTCATCTTAATTTTAAAAAAAAAAAAAAAAAATCAAGCTATAAATCCCCTCTAATTTGAAAATTCAGTCTCTGACAAACATGCTTCTTTAGTGTGAAAGAGTTCAGCAGTCCTATTATATATCCTATCTTGAAAACACTTTCACTTTAACTCAGCTACCATAGTTAAGTTAAAGAAAGCTAAGAACACATGTAAGTATCTCTTGGACAGATGTTAAATTCATCAAAAACTACCTTTGGATAAAACAGCTGGCAGTTTTCAAACTGAAGAAAGTATTTTCATCTAGTTGCCATTCTTACAAGGTACCAATGTCACTACCTTATTAGTGGTTCCCTAAAATTTGGGGTGGATAACTATTCAGTGAAGTACCAGATTTTTTCAAATTGAAAATAGAACACTTACAGCATACGAGAATGGGGATAATCTTTCCAGAGTGAGGTTGGGTTCATCATGAATTCTTCCTAAAGAAAAAGGCCATTGATTTAAGGACCTTCTTAATACTTGAAGTCTATTTTTTAAGTAAAAACAGCAAATAGACTGTTACTTACTTCATTCAAAATACCTGCTCCCCATATAAATGAAAACAAGTAGAAAAACGCTAGCTGTCCTGATTCATTGAATTTGCTGTGCTTTGTTTTTGACAAATGCAGGCGTCTATTAATTTTCTAGAAACAAAAAGCAGATCAATAAATGTAATTTCTAAAACAAGAAAACTATTTGGGAGTTAGCGTTCACTCCTGAATTATTTTTTCTATTTTTTTTTTCTTCCCAAATCTCCCATTCCTCAATCAAAATACATAGCTCCCACTATTTAAGACCTTGATCAGCACTTTGTATGACAATTAGCTTCAGTAAGACTTGCCACTATCAAATTTCTTTGTACACTCAAAACCCATTTGAGCTTCTGTGGCTTAGATGCCCTATTTGTGAAGACATTCTAAGACCCTTCAATAATAGGTGGTCTTCACAATGGCTTTAACAAATTCAGTTTACTTTGCAACTGGTATAAAAGAGCACACAATGAAGTTTGAGCTCCCTCTTTAAGGTGAAGCTCAGCTGACAAACAGAAATCCATCACTGTAGTAATTTTCATTTTTGATCTTCTGAATATAGCTTATGAATCTAATGCAGCAGACCTCATTCACAGATATTTCTGGTAGGGCATGAACATTTAATGTCTGTTTTTACAGAAAAATATAAGTTAAATTGATTGAAAGAAAGATTCAGTGGTTTATACCATTAATAAATTGAGGAAATATCACCATAAAAATATTATAGAATCATTCAGGTTGGAAAAGACCCTTAAGATCATAGAGTCCAACCATTAACCTAACACTACCAAGTCCACCACTAAACCAAGGTCTAGTCACATTTTTGTCAAAGAACAAAAGGATTGATCACAACAGGGCTTCTCAATGCTAAACCATTCCTTGTACCACAGCTTACACTTAACTTGAAGAAAAACTCTCAGCAGCTGATGGCTAAAAATAACATGTTTATAAAATAAGTTATATCCCAGTAATAAACTTACATCTAATACGTACTCCTGGATTACAGCATGCAGATTAATAGCTACAAGCATGTAGAAGAAGATTGTGGCAAAGTCTTTTGGACCATAGTCATAAAAATGAAACTGCTCGCTGTTGTCATCTAAAAAAAAAACACAAAAAAACAAAAAACCCCGAAGTGTGTATTTTTACATTCTTACGAAGGAGTACTCTGTGCAACTGAAAAAGGGCAGCAGTGACCATTGTTCTTGCAAGTTATGTTAAATTGATACAGGATACTAGTTATAAGTTTTACGTTTTTTAAAATCACTTTTTATGCCCTATTAGATAACTTGAAACTTCTTTTCCTTTGATACAATGACACAGTTCTAAGCCTAGAACAAAGTATTGAGAACAGTATACACTGAACAGTAGCTCAATCCATTTCTTTCGTCTAGGCCATCAAAAAAAAACCCCAAAAAACCCCACAAAACAAACAACACCGCAGACACACCAACACCCTTTCCTCTATACTTTGGTAAAGCCCAAATGAAATTCCATCATAAGCAGCATGACTATATGTAGGAAAAAAGAAACTATATAGCAAGGAACCCTAGTAGTTCAACACATCAGCAAGTAACAACTTCCCCAGGATTTGTAATACATTCCTATAAATCAAAAACAAAATTGCTAAAAAAAAAAAAAAAGAGAACATTCACACTGTTAAAAAAGTACTTCAAATGTTTGTATTTACCATGTTTAAGTGTGGGAGAACTTATAAATGAAATTAAATTTAAAAAGCATGTATCAGGAGCAGTAGACCTAAGGAAGCCTTATTTTGTAGGAATGTCTCTCCTTTGGCCCACAAAGACCCATTACAACCACCTTGCTTTTCTTTATGCATCTGAGACTGCAATGGAAAAGAAAGAACTTGTACGGCAACTCATCAAGAGCCACACATCCTGATTTACAGGCTAGCATGTCTAACATTTATATTCTTCTGCTTTCACTTAAGAGGGGGCAGTAATTTGGATGTCTCATCTATACAGCCACCACTTTTCATAAATATCAAGGAATTCTGTTATCTTTAAGACTTCTACCCTTTGTCAAAAACTTTGTGTTTTCCAAATCCAAAACAGCAGAAATAGACATCAAACAACTTTTTTTTTTCCTAAAGGAAACTAGGGTAGAAGGTGTCAAGGGAGCAATTACTGCTTCCTGTAACATGAATGGTACCTTAAGGTCCTAATGCACAGGACATCCATGTAACTCTAAGTGTCACATGTCCTACTTCCATGTTTGAAAGCAGCTTGTGATATAATCAATGAACAAGTAATCGCATAGCAAATGCTCTATCTGCCTAGTTCCTAGCACTTTTTTTTTTTCCCCCCAAAATGGACCTTCACTAGTAATATATTCATTGTTTTCAGAGGGCCAGAGTCGAGACCTCAAAATTGCTTGTGCAGAACTCATCCACACCTCCTATTAAAACTAAGGGAAGCTATACCTTGTTCATTCCATTGTATGTATATATACACACATACATACACACATATTCATGCACCAAACACTATGAAGAAGTCACATCACAGGCATCTTGGTAACTGACACATGGATTTTACTTTTGTCTCTGCTACAGGAGATTTCTACTTGATGCTGCTCAAATATCAGTAAAACAGAAGCCCACTGACTGTGTACACCTCAAGTGTTCAACATAAATCATCTCAGAAAACATTTGCAAAAAATAATATATATTCATTACTGCAATGTTGATCAATGCACTATTTTGAACATACTAAATGCAGTCAGTGCTACATTATTTCAAACGGTCATAGCATTGAGGTCTGAAGTTTGGAAGTCAAGATTAGAACGAAAGTCCTAGATTTTTGCTAATTTCTCTGGACCATAGTTCCCCATCTGGAATAATTCTACCACAGTACCTATTTTTTCCAAGACAATGTGCAGGTTAATTCCTGGAAAGAACTGAAAGTTATCAAATTAAGTTATCAAATAAGGAAATTCCATTAGCTGCTTACCACTCCTGTATATAGTGCAGCAGGTACAAAAGATTAAAAAAAGTAAATCTTTTTTTGGGAAAAAAAAAAGAATCAGTACTGTCTCTCTTTGTTATTTAAAAGCATGACTGAGTCAGCAACATCAGTTACTTGAGAATAATAATATGATATTTTTGAAATATAAACCGCAAATCTATTACTAATGACATACAAGAAATCATGAATAAGCAACAGATACATAGAAGATTACCAAAATATTCTGTTACTTGATAACTCCTGTTGCTTGTATCAAAAACTGGAAAGAATGCATGCTTCTCACATCAAAATGCAAGTAAGTAGCAGTGTTAACTACAGGAAAAATAACCCAGTATTATTCACAAGCAACAGAGAAAACACTAGAAAGTCAGTGAATACAGTATTAGTAAATCCAAAAGCAGACAGACAAATATGAGAGTTCTACTACATTATAAAAGTGAAGTGAATTGAAATCTTGAGGGGAAAAAAAAGAGAAATTTTTAATTGTTGAGCTCTTACATTACAAGAAAAAGAAATAGATTCGATTTAATCTCACCAACGGTATAGGTGACATTGTACTGCAGAGCAATAAAGATGATGATGCTCCTGGCTGGGGCCTGAAATTCAAAAAGAAACAAGGAAAAATTATCAGATTTTTCAAAAAAGCTAGACTATAAACACCCAAAACTAGGAGATTATGCCATCAATAAATGTTCTCCCACACATGATTTAAATCAAAGAGGTCCTGAAAGTGTTATTCATCTCCCACAAATGTGGAGGCTCACCTTGTTGCAAATCCTTTAACATTTGCTGCATAGGGTCAGGACTTGAATTATGTCCTTTTAGCTAAGGATCAAATTACTCACTAACTCTACTAAATAACATTTTAGTGTGTTTAGAAGTGTAAATGGTTTTCATTTATTTCAAAAGTTAAAAGACTCTCTAGATTAAATCAGATGGAAAGTTTCACCTAACTTTGCAAGGTATTAAAAAAAGTGACATTCTGGTTAAGTGTCCATATAAGTAAATAGAGTATTCAAAACATCATAGTAGAATGATAAGATCCACCAATTTCTTGTATGATAAATCAAGCATTTTCTAAAAATTACAGTACAATCAAAGTAACCAATGGTATACTTCTATTGTTACTTTTTCTCCAGTGGCAAAAATAGTTTATTTAAAAAACAACCAAACAAAAAGCCCCCAACACTTTCAGCCATCCCTACCTCTTCAAAATGCCTTCCCATTCCCATGTTGCAGTATATTTAGCCCTTAGCTGTAACAATGGAACTGTTTATAATGTGGATTACTGTATGACCCTACAGCCGAGTGGTAAGAGGTAAATATGTTTGCTTAGTTTACTTGAAAACATTTCATCATCTGGTTTGCACAACTTCAAAAACAAACAGTTATGCTGATATAGCTTACCACTCTTTCAGTTACAACAAAGGGATATAAGTGGAAGGGAAAAAAAAAAACCAACAACAAAACTGGTTTCTTTACTGCAGAAAAAATGCAACATGGAATTACATCCTACACTGCCAATAGCAAGTACATTTATTATGTTTGCAAGCACTCAGTTATCTAGTTCATAAATCAGACAAGTACAACAGGCATAATCTGAAGGCTGATGTAACAATACATTCTTGTATCTTTTGTGCTTTCTCTTAAACTGATCTTCACAGATATGACTTAAAACAAATAAATATAAACTAAAAAAACGAAAGCTGTTTTCCTCAGATGTCACACCATCTAATTTCTGGAAGTGTAACTAACAACATTTGGGGCTAAATAAAACAAGCACTAATTTATCCAGCTACAAAATAAGCAAGAGGCACAACAATGCAAAAGAAGATCCTCTGTAGCAAGAAAAGGGAGAAGGCAAATCGCTTAAGTACACTAGCAGTGCACCTGTGAAATTAAGCAGTAGAGGAGTCATAATACTGGAGTGCTTTTAAGAGGAAGTCTCATTAAGGAAAATGAAAGTTCCAATTTTTCTGACATACAAAATTGACTTTCAGACACTGCAATTCTACAAACAATTTAACCTTTTGTAAGCCAGCACTAACATCAAAAGGAGCAATCCTGCCTTTCTCTTTACTGCTAGTTGCTTCTTGTCTCTGTCCCACACTCGTGCCATCAAAAGCAGTGGTGTGGTGAATTGGACAGGAAAATTATACAAGTTAAAACTGATCCAGCAAAACAGGAATGAAGAGAAAACCCTATTAATCTTAACACAGATAAGTTTCCTAATATGCTGCACTGCTCAGCTACAGAATTTCTTTTGTGTCCTTGATGGGGAGAATAAGCAGCCAGAGCATCAATGCCAACTTAAAGTGTTCGTGGAATGAGAGTGCGAAAAATTCATTGCCAACTGCTCGTGGAGAGACAGGGAAAAATACACATAGTTACATAGGTATGGATGTCATCAGCACCTAACTAAAACAAACATGCTTGCTTTCAGTAAGTCATCACTCAGGACCCACAGCAACAGTCTCCCTTGTAGAAGGGCATTCAGGCAGCACCATGTAGCTTCAAGCAGACCCCTTCATTAGGGAGTTTTCCTGAGAATAAGTGCTTATTTTTGTGCTCTTTGGGAAAAGAGTGTGGTAAGAATCTTTGCTAGAGCCCAGCAAGTTAGGTTTTCTGTTTGTCCATGAAGCATACAATGTAATACTACAAGCATTTCCCTCTGCTGGAAGTATGGGAGCCCCATTAAGTGGTATTCTGTGGCAAGATAGCCACAGATACAAAGGTGATGTAAATTGTTCTAGAAAGAAAGAAATCATATGAAACACTCCAAGATGATACTAGAAGCTTAAAGAGAACCACAAAGACTAAAACAAAGGTTTCTTTAGACGACGAAGGCCCACTTTGTTGTCAAGAAAAGGAGTAGGATTGGGCACCTAAAACACTACAAATATTCTCAGATAAGGAAGAAGAAAGAAAATAACAGTTAACACACTAAAATTTAACTGCCACTTTTCAGTATGTTATAATCAGAGTGAATCTCCCTACACGCATCTATAGACCTCATAATAATCAGCAAAGTTAAGGTATGGGAAAGTACAATTAAGGTGCATAAACAACCTTACATAATTTTAACATACTTCTTGTTTTTTGGATGGTCTCATGGATATGGGCAATTGAATGCCATGCCACCTAGAAAAGAAAACCCTGTGTTTACTATAGTACTATGTAAGCCCAAGCAAATCATTCAATAGGTAGTGAACTGAAAAGTTTCATTTACACATTCTTTAGCTTATTAGTGTATAACCTACGGTACCATGGGCTAGATTAGGAAATCTGCCATTGATGGATGCATCTGAAGTTACAGTAAGCATAAAATGCTGTGAAAAGCACTGATTTAACAACAACAACAAAAAGCTGCCCTTCAGTGCTTCAAACTTAAAACCTAAAAATAACTTAATACAGAAAGGAAATCAAGACCAAAAGAAAATAGACATAACAGCTGTGTAGACAAGTTCAGTAACACTTATGAAGCACTCAATATAGAATCATGATAAATGTCACCAAAATTTACTGGAAAAACATCAGTATTTTTGTTTGTTTGGCAGACTGGATTACCCATTATAAAAGTGGTGTAAGACCTAGACAGTGAACAACAGAAATATAGATTTCATTCAAATAACTGGTATGGTTTCTGCAGTGAATGAGGCAGAGGCGTAATACAGAGGTCTAACCTGTTACATTGCACCACTGTTCCTCTGCATAATAAATGCAAAGGTGTCTCAATCAGAAAAGTAACTTTTGCATCAAAAAGGAGATGCTGATGTTTAAATTATACAATAAGAAGTATAATAGTATATATAGTATATATTCAAACAAGCACAATAAAAGCCTATCACAAACTACACTAGAATCTAGTCTGCATTTGAACTTTTAGAATTATGCTGACTAGAAATGAGATAATTTGCTAATTATCCTTGGGTGTAACTAACTCACTCTTTTTCCTCTAAATGAAATCACCTTAATCAAAAGAATAAAGCTCACCCCAGGGGAGCTGCACAGTCCTTTCCAATACCTGCAGAGTTACAGAAATACAACTTCTATGGTGTATAGAAAGCCTGAGTTAAGACAAATGGAATTCAGAGACGGAACTCCAGAAAACATAATTTTTTTTAACAGCAAAAGGACACAGAGCAGTATCTTTTTAAAAGTACCATATATAAAGATACATTAAAAGTTCCATTTGGGATCCCAAACAGGGTTTACTTAATCCCAGGTGCAGACATTTACTTTCTTTCTTAAAGCCTTCATCACCTGAGTTGTCAAGCTCCTAGCTATTATTTTAATCCCAAAACTGAGTTCCGCATTTAATATATTAACTTTATGACATACTCCTCCATAGATGACACAACTTATTATACCTCAACACTGCATTTGTCCACCATTTAGAAGGAAATTATCTGACCATCACAACTGCTTTCTCTACTTTATTTCTGTCCAGTATCCTTAATGTTTTCAGAAGTGGATCAAGACATATACAAAAAAAAAAAGCCCCCCAAAACCCCAACACTGCAGAACATCTACATGTAAGTATTTTATCTCAGAATTTAACAATACTTTTAATTTAAAATGATCAGATTTTTAATGTTATCCAACTGATGGGAAACGTTAATATTTCCGTAAAGTATTTAAGTTGTAATAACAATAATAGTTCAGGAAAGTATTTAAGTTGTGTATCCAGAATTTAAACTCTATTCACCAAGCCTTATCCCATACTCTACGCCAACATAAAATATTCATGTAGCAACACAGACACACACAAGGCTTTTGTCCCAAAAGTGGGGAAAAGTTGCCCAAGAGAGATACCTAATCCATCACCCTAGAAACTAATAAGCAGCTTGCACATGGAAATAAGCTTTATAATAACTTTCAAATACAAAGGCAAAGAGGAATTCAGAAGTTGGGCTGAGACTGTCTAATCCCACATTTTTCTTCAGATTATCCATCGCTAGGGAGCTGAGCCAATGACAGCAATGGACTGAGCAGTGGTGCAAAAGGGCGACCAGCAGTTTTTAACTACCATCTAGTTAAGCATGCTCAAATCATGAGAGACTGAAACCCTCTTTATAAGTGTTCCTAACTGCTTTACCACTTGGACTTTTGAACCGGGGGGGGGGGGGTGTAAATAGGCACAACAGAGACATAAAACGACTCTGCTTTGAGCAAGGGGGGCCTGAGGAGCTTTTTAACTCAGGAGACTGGAACTGAGTAAAAGGGACCTTATGGGAGGGTGCTAGGAATGAAACATATGCAGAGATGAAGGAAAACCGGACCAGAAAAGAAAAGGGCAGCAATCTGACAGAAGATGCTAAGAGGGGGTTGCATAGTGAGAGCGGGAGCTGGCAAAGACAACTCAGTAGAGAAGGCACTGGGGAGTACGTGAGCTGGGGCAGGACAGAAAAGAAACGAAACTTGGTGCACGCGGAAGGCAGCCGAGACATGGAGAGGAGGGTGCCCGAGCACAGTGTCACCTCGGGGCAGAGAAGAAACGAGGACATAACCCTGCAAAGAAGAAGGGAAAAGGCAGACCGAGCCGGAGGGGGTAGAGCAGAGCTGCTTGGCAGCGAGGCTGAAGCGAACGGAGGGACGTCCTGGGGAAGCTCCAGAGCGGGAAGCCGAGGGCGCCGCAGCTGCCCCACAGCAGGATCAGGTGCTGCTCCACTCGGCAACCACCGGTCCCCTCACCTTGCCCAGTGCCTCCACTATGAGCCCCAGCAAGAAGGCCATCACCAGGAAGGATGCAGCATCAGCATGGTTCTGAATGATGAACTCATGGCTTAGCACCGCCGGGCTCCTGATTTTCCTGCGGAACCTCATGGCGGTTGACAGCTCCCAGGCCCGGGCAGCCCCACCGAGAGGAGCGGTACCTCTCCCTGCACCCCAACAACCGCTACCTCACGCACGGTAAACACCACCGGCCCTAAAAGGCCCACCCTCTTTCGAGTTCCAGCCAGTCAAACTTAAGAGCGCTTATGATTGGCAGTCCTGGTACCTAATCGTTAGGCGGTCTGGAAGAGATGTTTCTAAGGAGGCGGTGCTTCGAAGGCAGTTGGGCACTTGCGGCGGGAGAGGGAGTCCGAGCTGAGTGACACGGTTCCTGCCAATCCCATACGCGGGTGGGTGGGGCTTGCTCTGACGGCCGCTGCGGACCTTAGTGGGCGGGGTTTGGTTCGTGCCAGAGGCGGGCTGGGCGCTGAGGAGATTGTCGCCGGCAGAGGCCCAGTGGAGCCCCCGTCTTTGGTTCCGTTCGATCCGGTCTGGTCTGTGTGTAGGCTATGCTCGCCGCAGCTCCAGTGGCGGCCAGGTAGCTCCGCTCTCCTAAAGCCTACGAGGCACGTTAGTCGGTCTGCTCTCTTCACGTGTCCCAGGACTGCGGCCCGCCTAGGTGGGGGGAAGCGGCTCCTCCTCATCCCCTTCTAGAGTTCAGCCGGGCTCTCTCACCTGCGGCTAGACAAAAGGGGAGAAACTGTTGAGAAACTCCCCTTTCCTTTTTTTTCCCATTAAAATGGAGAGAAAGGGGATTCAGGGTGCTTTGCAGTCCTAAAAACGTGGACATTTGGCTATCTAGCTGGAATTCGGGGGGAAACCATACCAATTTATCAAAAAAATGTCAACGAAGGAAAGGGTGAAGGCCAGAGGGTGGTATGGCCTCCCAGAGAACAGGGTTGGAAGAGAAAATAAAAATTCGGTCCCATCTGGCAGCCGGGTGTCTCCCCTGCTGTACTGAGTGTGGCCTCAGCTGATTGCAGTGAAGAGAGGATCCACCTGGATCCAGTTGCCAAATATGACATAAAATACAGTTCAGCTCTAAAGTAGTTTTGGTACATGTTGATTATTAAATATTTAATGCTCACTGAAACTGTTTTTTAGTATGCCTGAATTTGCTTTCTGTTAAATGTTCTGCTTAGTCACTGAGTTTGGCTACTATGCTTGTACTCCTTTTCCCACCCTTATTTTGAGTTTCAGGCTAATATATTCAGACACTGGATTTTATGTTTGAAATTAAGAATTGCTGCAGAGCACATGTGCTATTTGGGAAGCAAGTGCTATGCATGTTCTTTTTCTTAGCTGAAAAGAGGATTTAAAAATTAATTACTTGTAATAAGTTGTTTACAAATCATGACTGGTTTCTTTTTTTTTTTTACAAAAAAAGAAACAATAAAATTGAAAGAATTTCATAATTGTTTAGCATAATTGCTGCTTCTTGTTTCGTTTCTTAAAGCTATAAAAATAATCCTGACTCACAATTAACTGTGATTCAAAACAGTTTCAGTTTCATTTCTTCCTGGAACACATTAGAAAAAGGGGCAGATAATGCTGAATAGGAATGGGAAACAAGAAACAGGAACTTGGAACATCATTTTGTAACCCAGAACATACTAATCTGATACAACTGATAACACTCTTTTTGGACCATATCAGAGTGAGCAAGATAGTTTAGATTTTCATTGTCTGGGAACATGGTTTTCTAGAAGATCAGTACTCTAGAAGATCAGCCTACTACAGTAGGCTGTAGGGCTTTAAGAATTGTTCTATACTTGTATAGCTTCTACATTTGTAGCTTTGTAGATAATTTTGCTTTCAGCATGAATTTCAGCTCTTATACTTGCTTAAGTTCCAAACAAGTAACATTGAGTTTTTATTTTTAAACAAAACTAAAGCAATTTAAGAGCAGATAACTTATATGATTTGTTACTTGCTTACATAGATGCATGCTTTCTTTAGGACAAGGTAAGATTTAATACATTACTCAAATTTAAGATGCATAATTAATCTATTAATTACACTATCTTAGCAAAATTAATCTTGAGGCAGATTTGCTAGCTACAAGACTTGGAAGATTTAGAGCATGAGTTACAATGAGAAAATCAAATACGATAATTTATAGTAATATTAAACTAGTGTTCAAGTGCGTGCTTCAAGAGATATCCAGTGACTTCTGCTCTTCTATGTATACTAGCTTAATTTTTTAGTATAGACAGATGCTGTATGGTCAAGAGAGGACCACAGTTGTCTAAACTGACTATTTCAATTAACAAAAAGCTTGAACCTATTTTTGCAGTAAAACATTGTGTGTAGGAGGCAAGGGAAAAAAAAAAGGTGTGATGTTGCAGACCACAATTTTACTCTTTAGAACCCTGTGGTCAGGTTCTGCTTTTCCTCCTCTCCTCATGACAGCATCATGTTAAGGCAGTGAAGTGTCCCCTTTTACTTACTATGTGTATGATACAATTTTTTGATAAAACTCTAGTGTGCTGAACTATGTCTTTGGAAAGTAAATAAACTATTTCTTAAAGCAGTGTACAAGTGTATAAAAAAAGACCAGTGAAACCCCATACTTGTATTACTTACACTTAATTTTCTCACGTATCTCTTCAGAATTTAGATTATCTAATGTTTGGAAAGTGAGATAACTGGATGGACCTACATGAGGACAACCCACTTATTTTTCTGGCCACCTGCTTTCCTGTGTGGTCTATAATTCTGTGTCTGTTATTTAAGCTCTAAATCCCAGGTTTAAAGACACAAAGGGTTTTTTTTTATCTCTGATTCCACAGTTTCTGTGTTGTATGTAGTCCCCTTTCTCATAAATCCTACTATGTCATATCCATTGTCCTATCCTTTAAACAAATGAACTTAGCAACCATAGCTATTCTTATTTTCATAGTTGCTTTTTCTAGTAAAAAAGTAAACAAAACAAAAAAACATAGCCTCCAGTTAAGAAAAGATTTCCACTTTGCTGTTGGTTTGTCATGTTACGGTTATGTACATGGTTATGTATTTAGTCAAGGAATTAAACAGAAAATTAGAAAATTATGTCCCACTAGCCACCTAGGTTGAAAACAACTGCATAGGATTTAATATTTAGTCTGCTATTAAGTTTTGTTGTTGTTCTGTATAAAAAGCAAAATGAAATTAATGTCTTTTGCAGAGTTGTAGGAAGCAACCAGAGATCTGCTTGACTACACAGAAATAGCTAAGAATGACTCCTTTATTTTATGCTTCAGTTAAACAAGATAAGCTAATTCCGAATTTGAGTAAATTCAGAGAAGAAAAAAGATCCAGTCATTGTCTTGGGGTAAGTAAACACAGTTTAAAAATCAAAAGGCAAATACATTGGCTATATGATTTCCTTTTGTGTGTTAAAAGACCATCAAAGATTGGGATTTTTTAATTATTTATTTTTTATTATTTTATTGGACATTGTATGAATGCAGAATAGCACAGAGACTCCATCTAACAGAATTTAGGATCAAGTAGATAAGATAGATTCACCCTGGGGAAGAACGATACCCCGTAAGCAGTGCAATGGCATTGAAACACATTCATTGTGTTCTTTTGGGACTTTGGGATGGGGGAGGAGAGATAACTTAGGAAAGGATAAGCTGGGAAAAACAGAAGACGTGTATAGTAAAGCATTATAAAAGTCAGATTGGGGCAAACAGCCATTGGAATGACAGTGTCAGGCAAACTTCCAGGCAAATTTTGAACTGCCAGAGGTTCTTGCTTTGTGTTCTGCTTGACTTGCAGGTTAGAATCTATAGGTGATTTCTCTGCAGTCCTCAGCTACAGTCACATGGCAAACAGTAAAGGAAGTATCACCTGGGTGTGACCGAAGTGAGGATGATCTTCCTTGATTTGTTCTGGGCCCAGGAATACTTGAGGGTGAGGGATTGAGGTGTTTGAGCCTGTTTTGCTGTCTGTCTGTTCTTAAGACACAGGTTTTACAAGGCAAAGTACAAAAAGATTGGGGTTTCCAGTGTATATGTTTGTAAAACATCCTCTTTATGCTAAGCATTTTGCCTGTGCAGAATCTTCCTAAAGCTAATTGACTTCCAGTTTATGGGGCATAAAGGGTTCTACCTTAATTTGAGAAGGATAATGACAGGTATGAAGTAAAACAAAGTGCAAGATACATATTTCAGATGTTTTCACTTATTCTTTACCTAAAAGCAAAACTTAAATACAACAGAACAAATGGCATTTAATGACAAGCAAAAAAAGATCCAGTAGCAACAAAATATATATTAAAAAAACCCCACCCAAACCCCCCCCCCCCCCCAACAACATCTAGTTAAACAGTAGTAACTGAGATTAAAGTTACAAGAGCCTATTAATCATTGTCTATTTGGGTATAAAGGAATCATCAGATGAGCTAAGAAGGGAGTTTTTCTGTCACACTATAATTTTTCATACCAAGAAGTAGTTTTGGACTTTCCTCTAAAGTATATTGTCCAGTCATTTTTACAGAAAGGACTCTAGATGAATGATTAATATGTTTCTGTATGGTATTTCTTGCTTCTCTTTTCTCTTCATAAACTACTACAAAGCAGGCTTCTATTTTGTAAGAATTAAAACTTGGGATTTGGTCTTTGCATAAGTTCCCAGTTTTACAAAAATGGAACTGTGCGAAAAGGGGATAACATTTGTAGCATCAAATGTACAATAGTGAATTCTGAAGATTCTGTGCTACAGTTTGAGAACAATCTGTCTATTACTTGACACTCTACTATCTCTGAAAAAAAGAAAACTGTGTTAAGAACATACAGGGTAGGTCATATAATTGGGACAGGGGAAGCAAAGCAAGTATGGATTTGTGCCTCTGCCCTATAATTAAAATTCTCAATGGGAACCATACATCAAAAAACCTTTTACAATTAAACAGCAGTTGAAGTCATTTTACTATAGTATGTAATTGAATGATGATTGTAGAACCTTAAGAAAGGCAGGAAAGGAACAGGTACTAGACTTTAGGTAGCGTGTAAGAGTGAAAAGCTATCTTTCTGTTCTGTGAAAAACGAAAGTAGAAATCCAGTTCAATGGCTGCATCTGGTAATCAATTACTGGCTGTTATGTAATGATGTGCAATTTCTGTGGTGACTGATTGCAGTTTTTATTTAGAATCTATTAA